ACCGAGAAACTGTCTTTGTTTCATTAAACTGCCAAATATTCGTTTATGCAAATCTGTGAGTCCTTTGAGTCATTGAAATTCAATCATCCCATCACCTTTGAGTTTATTTTCATATCTGGTGCCATCATCTAGAATCTAAAACTGTGACGTTTACTGTCATCCTGTCATGAAAAGATACATTATTTGATTGTGTTTATCAGGTTATTCTTGTACACAAATAAAAATGAGAATCAAACTGATTATTCTGATCGTATTAAGTTCTCGGAAGATAAGCAAGTTCAAGCATACTGATGTCATTCCTGTCAAGTGGCTCTACATGGTACATGTTAAAAGTGTATATGGGTAAATGTAGGTAAATTGCAATGACATAATTTATTCTATTTTGAACTTTCAGCTTCATTATTGAAATAATAGTCGATAAAGTAAGATCATTTGGTTCTTCTATTCTAAAAATAATGATGTTAGCGATAACAAAGAAAAGAATTAAATCCCTTTTTATTGATGAACGCTTATGACAACTCAACTCTCTTTTCAAATATAATAGAAAATTGGACTTCAGCAACTTCTTAAAGAATTCCAGTAATGCAAGTGATTCTCGTTTGTGTTTAACGAATTAAACATTAAATTCATAACCCATACTAAAACACAAAGATATTCCGTGGAAGAGAATTTTCTTTGAGCACTTTATAAACGATCATAGAATTCGCTTAAAGGTTAAAATAGGAAAAATTGGTTCAATGAAGAGTTCTCTTTTCGGCGACTTCATTTTCAAAGCTGTACAATCGAAAATATATATACTTTTTTTCAGGATGATAATAATTACAATAATAACGACAATAAACCTCTGTCAGACATGGTGACAGTGAGGTAGAATAAACAAAGGTATTAAAAAAATATTTTTAAACACGGAAACTAATTATCGTTTGATTGTTAATGGCTTAAATTATCCTCAAAAGATAGATAGGGAAATCGTTATTGGGAAAGGATGGTTCAGCATGATAAGATAAAATGTTTCTGATTCTTTAAAAAGAACGTTCTTCGCAACCAAGTTGCGAATAGTATTCTTCAGCCGATCATTGTTCACCAATAATCTTAAGGATAAATTATCTCATCTGACCAGCTCAATGTGCATTTACCAATTTGCCTGCTCATATGGAGCTAGGTATATAGGTCGTTCGATGCGTACTTTATCCAAAAGAGTTCAAGAACATTATCCGGCGTGGCTAAGAAGAGGAGGAAAAGGCTCAATAAGAAGTTCAATAATCAAACACCTTGTGAATACAGGTCACTCAATCAAGACAGACTCTGCGTTCAAAGTCATCTACGATGTAAGAAGAGTTCTTCCAAAGACAATTATGTTGCATCTTCTTAGAATTGCCAAAGCAATAGCCATACATCTGGAAAAACCAGAATTGTTTTTGCGAAAGAGATTGGTACAACCTCTGCTTTTATCATGGACTTAATCTCTTATAACCTTTTTTTCATACTCTTCTTCCTTTATAGCCACCTGCTTGCCCTTCCATGTCCTTTAACCCTCTACCCCCAACTGGTTTATTTCTGGTTCTACGATCCTTCTGGTTACATTTAATCTCAATTTCAACATTTTATCTTATCATGCTGAGCCATCGTTTCCCAACGATAATTTCCCTATATATCTTTTGATGAATACTTAAGCCATTAACAATCAAAAGATAAGAGTATTCTTTCGAACAAACAATACTCTAAGATCAAAACTAGTAAGAATCAAAGATCCGATACACAAGGAAGAACAACAGAATTGTGTTTATGTAGTGACTGTAATGCAACGTATGTAGGTGAAACATCAAGGCAACTGAATGTGAGAGTGAAGGAACACAAACTATGGTTAAAGCACATTCCTATATCTTCAGTTAAGGTAAGAAAACTCAAGAACAAATCAGCGATAGCATTACACTCGATAGAATCAGGTCATACAATTGATTTCAATGGCACAAGAATCCTTCAAAAAGGCCGAGGCCCTACATATAAGGGCTAATCCAAACAGTATTAATAGGAGAGATCGAATGCAACTAGCTGTCCCATGGCAACTAATAATTAATAAGTAAACCTGAACTCCTTATTCCATTCTATCTACATCGTATTAAACTAATTAACAGATGTTACTTCCAACGATTCAAATCAGTTATCTTACCTAAATATGTTAAACAATTGACTGGAACATTAAAACAACACAAACTTTCAATTACAAATTCTTCCTCTTTGAATTCATTCTTTTATCGTGTTTATTTATCTTCATTTAATCCATGCTGTGACATTTTTGATTCATTATCGTATATAAAAAATTATATGTTTCCTTAATATTCACCGACCGAAAACAATATACAGTGAATGAAATTTCTTCTCACTTACGTATACACACAATCTGTTATCATAACACTCTTCGTTTTCACACTACATGTCTCGTACACACTAATGTAAATACCTACATTAAACATTGTTAACGTTGATTGGATGACTTATTCAGTATACAATAAACCGGAGAACCATGTATCTATTTATATTCGATAATTTTGATATTTGATTATATTTCCATGAAAAAGCTTGGACTAGATTGCCAGGCGAAACGTTGGATTTACTTCAAATTCATTCGCTGATATTTTACAAATACATTCTTCCAGTTTAATGTCGCAAATTAACTCAGCACCCAAATACTGTGAAACTATTCGATCAAATTTAGACGAAAGTTCTCATTTATTGATCATTAGTTTCTCTGTTTAAAAAACGCAGAAGAAAATATATGAACCTACATCTTTTAGTAGATTAGATTCTATCTTAAAATTAATAACAAAATAGGGGTCTAATATTTCGTGTTTATAAAATCATATTTTTCACCATTGATCTCCTGCACTTTACATACATTCTAGTTAGTCTGACAATTAACTCAGTTTATGTTATCCACAAATATAAACTGTGCTAACTACTGAGTCATGGTATATCTTCCATTTCTGATAATGATTTCAATGGAGTACTCAAAACATTTACTGTATTTGAATTCATATTTTAATATGACTGACTAAATTTTAAGTTGTTATTTATATAGTAATAGAAAAGTTCACCAATCATTGGAATAGGGTAATGCCACAACTACAAGTTAAATAATAAGTAGTCGGTATCCTATTATTTATGTATTAAACAAAGATGATTTGGGATTATTCTCTTACAGTTGTTAGTTAAATGACGAGATATCTGTCTAAAATACAATATATCTTACTGAAATATCATACTATACAGTACCCAGTTACGGAAACACTGAAGTTAATAAACCACAATCGAAATATCTCCATCGTAAAACCATTTCTTTTGGGAATTTTTGTAGTTTTTATTAAAGTATCAGAGTTCAAAACCATACTTGGTATTCCAAGTTAACTACTACATTCTAAGATATATATATATAGCTAATGCCTCGGCAATACAAAGAACATGCCTACTAGTGTGAATTGATTTTCGTTCTACTCACGTATATACGACAATTTGTTCATTGTGGTAATATAACATCAGATAAAATGACTGCATATATTCGCAAGAAAATGAATGTTTTATGTTAGATTGCCATGACTTCATCAATACTTCGTTCAATTTTGCCCAAATTATCAGATGGGACTAAATCAATAACTTTATCGTGTTCATAAATATGCGTTGATCCTTCTTTAGGTGAACAGTTATCATTTTTCCTTTATAACATTACATCATTTCAAGCCTATTTTCAATCTAGAGAAAATTCCAGTAATATAGGTTGAACGCGATTAATGTCATTTGTTTTTTGTATGATGTGTAATACTTTTATAGGACAGACTTCAAAGGATCGTATCTAAACATCCTTCAGGTGCAAAGCCATTTGTAAAACTATTACTCCCTGAGATTCTCCCACCTTCTGTAAACAAAGTATGTCACCATTTGCTTTATGATACAATATTGTGACAGAACTAATTGGTATTTTGTTGTTGTTAGTCGAACAGTTATATGATTCGCGAAAAAGCGACAGAATAGCATCCTTTATTAGTCTATCTTGAAGGTCCACCAGATAAAATTTCTACGAAACAACAGCCATATTGTTTCTTTAAAAATAAAAAAATGTTTATGTCTCGATGAAACAGAAACATGTGTGGTATACTTATTGTGCTAAAATTACTGTAATCTTGTACTTTCAGTCTTAGTAAACTTGGTTAAAAGAGCATGAATATTTTTATTGTTATTCTAGTAGAAATGATTTTTCTTATGACCTTGATCTTTGTAAATAATCACGAAATTCACAGAATAATTTCTAAGGCATCATCCGGAGAAGATCCTGTCGAATAATAGAGATATTCTCAGCACAATGTACGAAATAAAACAAAGATTACTTCACGATGTCATGGTTTACCGCGTGAACTTTACCATGGATAACGCGATGGCGTTTGAAGCGGGTGGTACCGGGTTCGATTCCCAGAGTGAACATCAATTCTGTGATGCAGGTACATCCAGCTGAAGAGTCCCAAATAGAACGAAACGCGCGTCCTGGATTCCACTGCTAACCACTACCCATCTTTGCTTATACAGCTTGTGACTTCAAACAATATCGAGGCATACGCACAGTATGCACATATGCCAACAACAGACTGATCAACTGCAGTCTTAAACTTCAATGGGACTGTTTGATCTATATTGTATTTTTTCGGGATATATAGTATTTTTATAGACATGACCATCACAAAAATTATAAGCATATGATTCCCATACTGTATCTAGCAGAATTCAATATGAGAATTAATATTGGTTTACATGAGTGACAGTCAACATTTCACCTACATTTTCATTTAAGCCATTTTATATTCATTCTACTTCAAATCAGAAAAGATATATATCAACTGTCCACATAGACTTATCACAGAAGTTAAATGAATTGACTGTCAGGGAGACATCAATGCCAATATAGTTCAACAGCATAATTATCAAGTAAGAAAATACTTTTTTCATCCTATTGAATGGCAAAAGATAAACATCAGAAATCTTTGGGATTAGATAGCATAGCTGTTGTTATGATAATAGAAGGGCATAAGCTATGGAATTTCGCAGTTGATAATGGAATTAACATTTTCTGTAACCCTTCTAGAGAGTAAGATCCAAACTGAATATCGATTAGAAGATAGCGACTACTGTGTCTGATACTTGTTAAGTGATTTCTGAGTCACAAGAGAGAGGAAAATTTGAAAATTCTTACCAATGATGAATGACAAATTTTTTAAAATTTTAAGTGGTCAGCAATTAGCAGGACGATTGATTCCCTTAAATGTTCATGCTGAGAGCTACCTGATCATGTTATAACAGGATATTGTAGTGTTTAATAACAATGATCTTTTGCGATAATTCTGATTTATGTTCCAGGTCATTGTACTTGATCTCGATATGATTCTTAACACTAACATTGTTGAACTATGGAATCACTTTGAGAAATTTCCAGAAACCCAGGTTAGTTAGTTCTTAATTTCAAATTTCTGATCCTCATATATTTAGTTACTTTATTTTAAGACATATTTTTTATGAACTGCAAACTAATTATAGTTTAACTCGACCGCATCTAATATATTCAGACGTGAATTTATCACTAGATTGTTTTTCAAATTATTGTCATCTTAGATTAATATAATCTAGCGAAATGTACAGAAATTCACGATCCTTATTAAGAGTATTACTATTTCGGATATTTCAATATTTTACTCTATAGCGATTGATTTTAATCCTTTTATCAACGGATGTTTAATCTTGTGAATTTAATTTCGATGAAGCAAAATATTACTGAAAAGCATTTGACTTTGATCGCCATTAGGTTGTTTTGATCATTTTTTTTCTGATTGAGATCATGAACCGATTGATGTTAGACCAGCACAATTGAAAACCTGGAAGCAGTGGACAGCCGTTTCGTCCTATTGTGGGACTCAGCAGTGCGCATCCACGATCCCGCGGGCGGGATTCGAACCCAGGGCCTTCGGCCTTGCGCGCGAACGCTTAACCAACTGGACACTGAGCCGACATCCAATGGTGACAGTTTCTAACATCAACCAATCCACGAAATTGAGCGACCAACTTCCGTTGTACTGAGGTAGATACCTGTCTCTACCCGACAAGGATTAGCTCCACTAGTCACGGCTTCTCACTAGAACTCCGAGAATTCCCTCACGAAGCTAGTCACTAGTGAGCACATGATTCAAATTAACTGACATATGAAATTATCTCAAATCCAGTACTAGCGATTCATTTAACCCCAATACATAACTTTTTACTACAAACTACCAATTTTTAGCAATCTGTACAACAATACCATCCCAATTATATTTCTATTTCTTTTTAAAACAAATTATACTCAGCTAAATAAACTATTTAGTCGCTGAAATATTAAAGTATAATATGAAAGAAAGCAGATAAACTGTTACTTTGGAAATGAGTTGAATGAAATGAATACAGTTTGTAATAGACGCTCTGTAAATCCTCCAAGTAGTTTACAGAAATACTGATCAATGGGTCGGAATACAATGTTACTTCCATAAATATCACTGGTGTATAATAACTACGCTCATTGATTACCCATTAGAAGACTAAGTATAACTAAAGGTATTACAGCACCATTTTATTAAACATTCAATTAATAGCGAGTAAGCTGATGTGATTACGAAATCAAAAATTTTCGAAAAATGTATGTTGTCAATGTAACAATTCACAGGAGTAACAAATAGAATGACATATCGATTACAAACTCCAATAAAAGCGAGCTTGTCCAAGATCTAGGGTGAGAAAGTGATGTGGAGATGAATGAACTGATTAGGAAAACTCGGACGTCATAAACTGGCAGATTCATAAGTGCATATAGGATTAATACTATTTTGATTAACAACGTTTTGATTGAATACTGCTTTTATTGAATTAAATAAATAATCAAGAGCAATGATTATTGTTATTCAGACTGAATAATGCAAATTTGCTGCAGCTGAAAAAAGACATATTACTCATAAAAATGCAGTGTTTAGTTTCATTTTCAATGTTATAAGCGTTCTAAACAATGACTGAATATTAAACGATGGCCTGAATCGATAAGCATAGACTACGTAGGTATTATTACTTGGAAAAATAACAAGATAGAGTACAAAAAGTCAGACAAAAATGACTTCTTTAACTAATGAAATGTTTTATGAAGTATCTTTCTTACTCAGAACATGTGGATTCAATTTTCACATTCCAACGATTCATAAATACAAATAAGATTAAAGCCCAATATAAATATTGTAGTCAACACTGTACATACTACTGACAAGATATATATATCCTATAAAATCTCAGTCGTAACAATCCTTCTACTCAATACACTTTTAGGAAACTTTTGAAAAATTGAATTATCATCAATATTGTTATTTGACTCAAACTTTAATATGAAACTACATCTGTCTAAATATAAGTGTAGTATTGAAAAACGAACATCTTAGTCGTAAATTGACGTTAATTTTCCGAATGTCTTACGCACACTTTTTATTCATGATATGATGGGATTAAAAAGCGAAATTAGATTCTTTTGCTCCTTGTGACTTCTTGTTCAATATTACTTCCGTTTATTTTTTTAATTCAATACGTTAATTAATCGGAGTAATATTTGTTTCTGTTTTCCAATGTGATATTTTATTCGATGTAACATTGATTTATTTCACTATCATGTTTATGCAAGATACAATATTCCTGTATTAAATTAACATAACTTTTGCTCAGTATGATATGCAGCATATGATTTGTTATAACTCGAGATTTTCTCATCTATGTGATTTTATTCTAATTAATAGACAATATGTGTGTACAATCAATATATAAATGATTGTAGTTTCGACTAGGCTCATAGTCGTGTTCTGGGGCTAATGAATCTTCACTTATATCATTCATGGTGTCCTTACTTCTCGTCGCGGGAATTGTAGTAGTTTCTCGTCGCTCTTTTCAAGTATAAGTTATAAGCGTCAGCGTAATTAATAGTTGGTTTATTATAATTAATATAATTTATCTTCACAATTGATCGATCACTGGCTGGTGATCAATGTCACGTATGTCAGGTTCTTCTTACTGCAGATCAAATACTATCGACCAAGTTGCAATGTGGCCACCAGTCTAGGTGACTCGACATTGCGTGCACCATGTTAAATTAAGACGGTGGTTGGAGGTAGTCGATAGGAAACCCTGAACCTAGGTTTCGTGTTACTTTGCCTATACAATTCGAACTGCACTAATAAGGACCGGACATACATGACATTGATCGCCACCCGATAATCAATCAATTGTAAATTTATCTCGGTCCTACAGGAAGCCAGTCACGGCCCGGATAGCTCAGTGGTAACGTCTCTGACTGCGGAGTTGGGTAACACGGGATCAAATCCATCAGGGAGTACCAGCTCCCTCAGGATTACAGGTACACCTCGCTGACGAGTACCAAGTAGTACGAAGCCTAGGTCCAGGGTTTCCTGTTGACTACCTCCAACCGCCATCTTATAATTTATCACCATTATAAATTTTATGGTCAAACGCCGAAGTCAGTAAAATAATATGGATATTAAGTGTCATTGCGTAACTTTTATCGCCCTCTTCTATTGTTATAGAAACGTGTCTCCATGTGTTTCCAGAAGTTCCCTATTAGAATTTTCACTTTAGTTCACACATAATTGTTCAACTAGTGGAATATATCTAGAATTGACCCATATTTATTATCTTTTTATAAATTTTTACTAGTAGATTATAATGTATGAATACTGCCTTTAAGTCATCATTACTATTGTATCTACATTGTACACAAGTGCGGAGAATTCACTAAATAAATGAATTCATTATCTTTGATGTACTCAAATTTCTTCTATATTTCGATCATATTTGGTACATCATATTTTGTGTTTTCTTGTTTCTTTCCTAAAGATGATAGGCATTGGGTTGGAACAAAATCCGTATTTTCAAGAAGTTATGAAAAATTTAATCAGTGACTGGGAAGTAAGTGTGAACATTCTGTTACATTTATTGACAATATTATTATTAAGAGACAGACAATTTGATGCAACCCAAGTTTTTTTCAAAATAATTCACATTAAGTGATGTTTGATAATGTATTCCAGATCTGAGTATAAAGTCAGCTATCATTTTTTGATACTGTTGTAAAGTTACATCTACAAATATATATCGTTTGTTTTATTGATAAACTGGGTAGCTCTTTATTGAAAAGTATTTACAGAGTATGTTTAAAAGAAATTAACCTTCACATAGTAGGTTCCATTTCTTCAGAGCAAATAAGTTTACTTACTTGCTTATATATATCAAGTACGCCTCGTGAAGAATAGGCCGCCCACCAGAATTCTCCAACCAACTCTGTCCAAGGCTGAAATTTCCAGTTGTCTCCAATTGCTATACATTCTTTTGATTTTTCCCGCCGATTCCCGACTCAATGTCTTTATTGGTCTTCCTCTTTTCCATCTCCCTTCAGGATTCCAAGTTAGTGCTCACCTCGTGATGCAGTTTGGTGATTTCCGTAATCTGTGTCCTGTCCACCTTCAACGTCTTTTCCTAATTTCCTCTTCAGTTGGAAGCTGGTTTGTTCAGTATCTTGCGTAGAAAATTGTTTACAAATATTTGTGCTTTTTTGGTGACGGTTGTAGTAGTCTCGATGTTCGTATTGAAGACTGTGACTTTGATGTCGGTTGACAGTTGTTTTGTGTTCCAAATGTTCCTTAATTGTAGGAATGCTGATATCGCTTTGATAATCGTTGCCTTTACGTCTGTATCAGATCCCCCTTGTTCATCGATGATACTGCCCAGGTAAGTGAAAGTTTCCACCTCTTCCAGAGTTCCTCCATCAATTGTGATTGGTTTTGTGTTCTCTGTGTTGTATTTGAGGATGTTGATTTTTCCTTTGTGCATGTTGAGGCCCACTGATGCAGAGGCTGCTGCTACACTAGTTGTCTTCATCTGCACTTGTTGGTGTGTATGGGACAGCAGTGATAGGTCACCTGTGAAGTCCAAATCGTCTAGTCGCATCCAAGCTGTCCAGTGTATTCCGTGCTCTCCCTCAGATGTCATGGTCTTCATAATCCAGTTGACCACCAGAAGGAAAAGCAAAGACGAGAGTAAGCAGCCTTGTCTGACTCCTGCTCTCACTTGAAGTGAGTCTGTCAGCTGTCCAGTGTGTACGACTTTGCAGTGTAGTTCATCATAAGTGTTCCGTATGATGGTGACGGTCTTCTCAGGTACACCACAGTGTTGATGAAGACTCCATAAGGTTCTCCTATTGGCCCTCCTCATATTCATTGAATTTGATGTATAGTGACGCGTTCCAGTCAACTGATTGTTCGACGATGATCCGTAGTGTCGCAATTCGGCCAGTGCACGACCGATCCCTACGGAATCTGGCCTGTCGATCTCGAAGTTGGGAGTCAGCAACACTCTGAAAAAACTTTTTCGTGGTACCAATATGTTATGGCTAGTTTCTGTGTTTCGGTTTGAACTTCTTCACATGTGTAATGTAAAATAATGCAATGCAGATATTTCGATAATAAAATTTATTTACGTATGAAAATTCAGTGATATTAAGTTGTTTTCGCACTATCGTAGAGTAGTTTCTGTCTTTCTATAGTAATATCCGAATTCAAGTGTTATATTGATCAAATGAATTCTTAACTGCATAACCATTTACTAACCTAATATTTTCTCCAGTACATTAAGTAACATTTTGGAAGTTCTGAACGGAAATTCGATGATCATTCTTTGATTAGTTGAACCCGTGAGAGCATACCTTTATCGATTAATATTAAACAAATCCATTTCATATGATATAACAAATAACTTTATTTATTACTCAGAAAGTAATAAACTTACCAATAATTTTTACCCTTTGGTTTCACTTATCTGTATTTCAGGATGTAATGAATATGATCGTATGCAAATACAAAGATCTTCTGTATGAAATTCTTTGCGAATGAAATGTTCAATTAAGTGCTGGGTCAGAACCTGAAGGATGTCCGGTTAGTTGGTTAAGTCATGTGGAACTGCAAAAACGCAATTATTATACAATTAATAAACAACCAAAAATTATCCATGTCAATCATCATATAAAACCGGAAGATAAATATTTTCCAAAACCCGTATCTATCAATAAAATTGACCGATCGGATGTTATACTTAAACGTAAGTGAGAGTAGATCTTTAGTAAAGTATCTAATAATTCATGGGGTTAGATAAAACTCGAAAAGGGTAAAAGCGTACTAAAATCACTTGGTGCGATGAAAATCTCCGTCAAAATTAAGCTTGCTTTGAAAGGATGGCTAATATCAATGTATTCAATGACACATTTCCAAAGAAAGACCTTCCAGCATAGAATATATATATATATATATATATATATACTTTTTATTGAAATTCTGGGGACTTCGTAAGTAAAACCTATTTGCCGAATGAACACATTAGTGTTTTTGAAATTTTTAAAGATATGTTCATATAGATTCATAAGTACTGTCAGTAGTTTAACACGAATCTGGAAAACTAAGTGGATCCTAGATTTTAAAAAGGAGGAATAATCCTTTTTTAGTCTTAAAAATGTTCAGATTAGTTGTACAAAGTGCTAGTTCATCAAATTTAGCTTGTTTAAGAATTCTTACTTAGCTAATATTTGAATATCGATATCATCGAATCACTGCCCACAGACGATGGAGCTACCAGAAGAGTGTTGTTATCATTGGAAGTAGGGTTATAGATAAAAGAAATGAACCACATGACGAAGGTATGAACATACATACGACATGATCGATGCCTACTCAAACATGGTGTGTTAGCATAGAAGTAGTCCTAGATAAGGTTATGAATGTCTACATCAAAAAATGACGTCATTTTACAAAGTTAATTAATCTAGAACGGATCCGTGTTGAAAAGAAGCGGACTTCTTATTTGAGGTCTGAGAACTAATCACAATGTGTAGTTTAATACTTCGGTTATCACATTGTAAAATGTGGCTCAAATGGATTCAATGTTAATGCGTTTTCTTATATCTTGAATTTTAGTATTAACTCATAATTTTCCTTTATTTTGCTTATTTTGGAGCTACACTCTCTATGATTGTCACCAAAGTCATTATTTTGTCTCATCTTTTAATATGTCGATTTATTCTCTTAACTCAATCATGTTTAAATCAATCAATTGACTTTCTTCTATTAGGAATTCTTAAATATGTGCAGAAATACACAGATGTATTCTGCAAACTTTATTTCATTAGGTTCTTAATGAATTAACATTTTAACAGTTACAGTAAATAAAAATTATCCCAGCTGATGTCTATTAGTGTTTAATTAACAGTAATGTATAATAAATCCGAGAAATAGGAGCAAGTGCAAAGATGCTCCTCGGTTTCTTCATAAAAAACTGGAAAGATAAACACAGACAAATCAACTGAAATGAGAGACACCAAGGAAGCGAGATTTAAAAAAGTCTGAAAACGACAGAAAAATTACACTTCCGTTAGTACTAGGCACAGTTCTTGACAGGCTGTTATTGGCCTAAATGAGAGATTCTCTAGACACCCATGTAGCGAAACTGCGGATCACTGTTGAACAATCACTTAAATGAAGCTCGTCACCATACATCAACTTCCCTGACTACGAGGAAGCATTCAACAGCACCGATAGGAGGACCCTGTGGAACCTTCTTCGACATTACGGAGTACCTGAGTCGTCACCATCGCAGTCTTGCATGCAAGAAATCTCACACGTCCATTCCAAGTGCTTACTCCCGTCTCATACCTTTCTTCTGGTTGTTGGCTGCATTATGAGGACCTCCGGTTCTCGTGAAGAGGATGGGATACAGTAAGATACTTTGGACGCAGCTGGACGATTTGGACTTTGAAGATCATTTAGCCATGTTACCACATGCACAACGATAAATGCACGCGGTTTATCAGTGTTGCAGCAACCTACGCAGAAAGACATTAAAATTCGCAAGTGAGGAAGCAAGACTCTGAAATACAATAGTGAGCATCAAACAAGTCCCATTCGGTGGCAAAGCTCTGACAGAGATGGAAGCGTTTGGGTGCCCACCTGGATAGCATCATCGATAAACATGAAGGACTTGGTGCAAATGTGAAGGCACGAATTGCCAAGCGAAGACGATATTCATACAAAAGAACTGTTACTCAACACCAAACTCGGGATTCTCAACGCAAACATTAAAACAGTTCTATTGTGTTGGGTTGAAACTTGAAAGACTTCCAGCACCATCATCAGGTATTCATAACTAGTTGCGACTCAAGGTACTCCAGACACATTGGCTAAACTACTAGCAATAACCTACGCTGGGCAAGAACAAGTCAGCTGCCAGTTGAGGAGGAAATTAAGAAAAGAAACTGGAGATGGATAAGACACTGTTCGGAAATCATTGAACTGAATCACGGTTCCAAGCCTTAACATGATACTCTCAAAGAGAAAAGAAAAGAAGGGAACTAAAACGCACATGAAGTTGGAAATCGAAGAAAGATGTCAAGACCACCAATAGTATTTGGCAACAACTCTGAAGAACAATTCAAGATTGAATTTGTTGGAGATCTCCTGTCAGTGGCCTATGACTCAAGAAGGATAATACGCGCAAGTAAGGCGCACTAAGTAAAAGAATCTTCACGTTCATGTATCAGCATTTCAATTCTGATTTTCATACTGAGACTGCAAATAAGTACCTTTTACTTCAAACACTTAGCACATCATCCACTGGTCTACTGATTATAGATGGCCAACAGCTTGTACAGCAGGTAGGGAGTATGTTTAATTTATACTGGTATGGATTTTTTCTGTGTTGACGTTAGGGATTACAAGTGTTTTTAATTTTTATTAGTTTTTACTCATATAACTCACTTTTCACGGGTTCGCTATTCTGTTTTATTATTGATAGGACATGAAATGTACTACAGACTCAGTTCGGTATATTACAAATTTCGTGCACTTAAACGTGAATGTTTTCAATAACTTCAGTGTTTACCTACCTTTCAGCACTTCGATTGGCAGACCTATTCATGATCCCTGATTTGAATCAACAGATCTGAGAATTAAATAATGGATGTAAATAAACACGTAAATTGTAAATAATTGGATTTACTATAAACCGTCTTTTTAATTTCATATATTTCTTCTGACATTTCATATGAAACACCCCTTTACTTTTGCTACGTATTGGAGGGAACGAGAAAATATCGACTTTTACGTTGAAATCGAAAAAATATCGACCACTGTACTTGAACTCAGTGTAGCGGTAAATAAATCCCCAAAATAAATAGTTCTAAGTTTTCAACATTGGATGCTGACCATATGTTTTAGTGGACTCATCTAGCTGAAGGCGCTCGGTCATGCATCCGCACCAGATCACGTGTGGTAACGCCATGCTCAACATCAACCGCAATCGCTAGCCAGATTAGATCAGAGAATTCCGATATATTGGTCATCGCCAAATATACTCTTCCGATCCTCTCGACTCTGTCTTTTGATTTCTCTGGGTGGGAACGAAATATATTAGAAGGTGTTACTGGTAGAAGCGTTGTCAAACACTGAATACCTGTGACATCATCATCAGTAACACAATGAAGTTAACATTGACACGGTACTAGGCAACTAATAAGTTAATTTCTACATGGTGTTGTATGGAATCTCCTTCGAAAAATTTTACATTAGCGCACTAAAGTTGTCCACTATTTCCTAGTTTTCATTGGTTCCTTTGCTGATACCAGTTTATAATGAAAATTATCTTTAAGGCGAACAGATTTTGGAAAAGTCATTACATGAAAAAAATACTACTGAGAAACCTCAACATTTCTGCGTCGATATGACTTAATACCGTTTACTACGAAAGTGATAATCTCATAGTACCGTATTTAGACTGCCGAAAATCAAATGTAGCTTAATTATTTAACCGGAACATTTTACAGTCAGACTAAGTAATATCTATAAAACAAGTTAAGTGATGCAGAGACTGGAAGTACCTTTATGAACACGCCAAAAGTAACAAATAACCATTCCGATTAATGTACAAAAAACTAAAGCCTGTTTGATGAAGATGTTCTGAATAACGAATCCCACAATAGTGCTGATGAAGACCTTATGAAATGTTTTAAGATGAGAAACTAAGATAGAGAAATCTCAGATTGCGTGCAGTACTGAACGAGTCATTCACACCCTGAAGTTTCATACACTCTGTAGTATCGAATGAAACTATACCTAACTATGATCATTAGTAGCCCAGAAACAGCGTAATCGGATCAAGGGGTACCAGATAAGCACGGACGAATGTACTGTATTTAGAATTCGAAACCAAGCATTCAACAAGTACAAAGGAATCATTAGTTCATTCAAACACCACACTAACTCTGTATCATTGACAGCTAGACAGCATATATCATAACAACAATCTCTGCCAGATGAGATGTCTGTCAGTGACATTAGTTACTAATAGGTGTTGGCTTATATATTTTCTAGTAGCTTAGTTTGAAGAGTGAGAACGTCCAAGCATTATTGAAATTGTTTTGAAGATAATTTTGATACAAACAAGGAAGAAGACTAAGAGTGAGCTGTGTTTGAGGAGATTACGATATCGCCTAAATCGGCGAACAGAACGAAAGTCAACAGCACAATCTAAATTATTCACTGAGACACAGCCCTGTTAACCAGAGGGAGGAGACCAGATTCAGTCGAGGGAAAAGAGTATTCCACAAGCAATCGGTAGCACGGACAAACAAGCAAACAAATCAAACGTACATATAAAGTATTTAAAGATGTCCTTGGGAGATGTCAAAAAATCGTGCATTTAACGAGAAAACAAACCAATGACGCTTAAGGTTCTTCTTAGTGGGAAATACAGTCTGAAGGCAAAAATGGGCGCTTTTAGGGTGAATATAGGAAATTTAAATTTCTAAGATGGAGTTACGTAAATAAGACGTTTATCAAATAATTTCTGGTGATCTATCATCCTGTTTGAACGTAGAAAGAGACAGAAAACACAAGACTTGTTAACTGACTATGTAGAGGAGGAAAAGCTTTGTACATGAGCCGTGGTGGATGTAGCCTCCATTCCTAACCAAGTTCCCATGTTTAGCATTGTCAACTAAAATTATCACGCTAAGGAACAAGGCTGAATATATATATTGTTTTAGCCTCCTAGCT